TGGGGAATTGATTTCAGATCGTCTTCCGACTTAACCAAGGTTCAAAGTCAACGTCAAACGGCCAAAACCAAGGAGTATCGATCTACCACATGACCGGAGAGAGTCGAACGATCCGGAATGAGAGTTTTGGTTTTCATAATTCGACCGTATCTCTGCTGCAGGAGCCACAAAAGCCACAAATTAATGTTGAACGAATAATATCATAAATTACAGGGATCGGCCAAAATTCGCGAACGCTTCAATTACTTTTTGATATCTCAAGCCCCCAGCCTCCCTTAGATTTTTCGACCTGGTGTTTGGTTGCGTGCAAGGACATTTGTTTGTGCCGTTAGCATGCAGGGAAAACCGGCTGGATAAAATGGATGTAAGAAATGTTCAACTCATATGAAAAGGTAGCTAATTCTTGAACAGCTGCAATCACTAGAGTCTCAGAGATTTCTGCGACTATGGGGCAACTTTTCTGTACAATGCACAGCACAGATAATCCGAACATGCTGGGGACTTGAAGTGGTGCTTATTCTTAAGGTCCTAACAACTAACAGAGTGCAATTATCATAATGGTTATGGCACTTTGGCGGGTACCACGTCGCTAGGCATACGGCAGTGGTAACTAAGCGCTGAGATGCGAAGGGTGGTTGCTTGTGTCTACATGTTATGTCGAACCGGGGGGGGACCTTCAGCCACAACCTAAACTAAATACCGTGAAAAACTTTATCATTCCGTTGTGGCTGCAATTGTGGTCGGATCTACAGCATCTGACTGATGAAACACAGCAAAATGTACGCACGTGGTTAAGGTGCGAGCGATATGCCGGCATTTCAGCCTGTTTAACAACCTACCTATCCATTCCTTTGAAGCTTTGACCATTAGATGACCTCCTATCGGTGCCACTAGCCAGCCAATCCCGAACTGTCCAAATCGAGTCAGTAGGATCCCAACATTCATATAGCCTTATGTGGCGCCGGGATCAAATATGTGGCTAAGGGTCATGCATGTAACTCCCAAGAATATGTAGGTACACCCGGCCCAGGACTAGCGAGTGACAGCTGGTGATATCAGCTTCTGTCGATGGCTTGAAAATCTGAACCCCAGTAAGCTCGGAACTGGATAAAACATGTGCCAAGTGAGCAGGCGAGCTGCTGCCGTAGATAAGGGTATTGCGTATCGTATTGCGTACATAGGGCGACGGCTTGAAGGTAAAGAAAAGCAAAAACCGTTATGGCGTTGGCATTGTCTCAGGAGGGAAGAGTTTTTACGGAAACAAAACGCTTTAGGTTCGAGAGTGGGGGAGTCTTTGCGCCATCCTGCATTTATTGGGGCTGGCTACACAGAGATTTCTTTGTTTTGGGGTTAGCCACTGTGGTACGGTACACAGAAATTTATTGACGACGACCGGGGATCTCTCCCTACTTATCACCCGTGATCGAGTTTGCACTTTAAACATCACGAGCTGGAAGACTGCTCAAACACCTCTCTCTCATTTGGATATCCATGAATAACACATCATCCTCGTCGTAACTAACAAGAGAATGTATAATTGAACGCCTTTATGAATTATAGCGTGGCTAACTTGTGGTTTAGGTTTATATATGTCTCTTGGCTTTCTGTTACTCAACCACTATCTCAGGGCCTGCAATATATCTTCGACTTTACATACGACCATGAATCTTTGATATTAGCAAGTATAGCTATGAGTGGTATTTTTGCCGTTGGCTGCCTAGCTTGGGTGCCCTTCAGGGTCAGAAGATCGGGTGTAAACAAGATACTTGATTAATCAAATACATACTCAACACTTCACTACCATCACCGCACCACAACAACTTGCTTTTAATATGGATGGTCACGAGAGTAAACCCAACTGCAGCAATGATAGTGGGGCAGTATCATCATCGAGAAGATGGAGGAGCCTTTTGGGATTACATATGCATAAGATACACGACTTATAGAACATGAAACGAGAACCCCTAGATGCACGGGAGTCCAGGACAGGATCTAACCCCGGTACATAAGAGGGGTGCGTTCCTGTTCAACCTTACCCACGTTCCGCGGCGTAACGTGGGTTATGTAGGTAGGTATGCTCGCGTCTGTTGCGTATAAAAATACGTCTCCTCCCCTCCCTCACTTCATTGGGCCCTTCCGCGGTTACCATGTTACGGAGGACATGAGACTAATCCTTCAATTATTTCCCACCGCCAAAGGCTCTGCAGATTAATAGAGAAAGCGCAGCCCGAAAAAGCTCCACAAGGGGGATTTTTGCGGAAAGCGGGGCGACATTATGTACTCAGCAGGTAGCAGCAAGCACACGATCATGATTCAGAATTCCGGAAAAGAACAAGCATGCAACTAACTACCGGCCTTCACTCCAGAGCACGGCTTCCATAAGGCTTAAGAGGGACTTTGGAACATGACAGAAAGTTTTCCTAGTATTATGACCAACTTTGAACCTAGCTGGTTTGCCGTTCTAAGCCAGCTTAAGAGGAATATCCATCCTTCCACGGATGGTATACCTGGCTGGATGTACACATATGTACGGCCATTTGCATGTCAATGTCAGAACTGCACTTTCTCATTCACCGCTACTGCCAAATTGTCGAGAATGTAGGCAGAGGTGTGCACACAAAATCTACCGAAACGCCCTCATAATACCAGCAAAAACCCTCATTCATTCACTCACCCTTCCTTCCTCACATGCATATCACATGCGAGTTTCTGAAAACAACCATCATCCTTCCAGGAAATCAAAGCAACCCCACTAAGTCGCCCTATCACAGTGGTGTTTCCCTTTTCGAGGCTGTCATGCAGAACTTAACTTGGCCAAAGCTGTCAGCTCGCCTTGGAATTAACATGGATGATCGTCCATGCCATCCATCCATCCAGCAGCTTCATCCTTGCTGCAGCTACGCGGTGCTTGCGTAATTTTGACCTTGGGAAATTAAGGTCATATTATCTGGTCTTCGTAGAGTAGAACATATCCCCACTTTTGGTTTTACTTCCTCTTTCCTTTCCCATCCAGCGAAACATTCAGTAACCTTAAGCTTCTGGGGAAAGGAAGCTAGTATTTCAAAATTCAGATTTGCTTTTTATGTGTGAACCAACGGTTATCGTGTTTATTTATTTATTAATATTAAGGAAATTAAACATTAGTGCGATCGAATAAGGTTGGCCCGGAGTTTCCTTGACTGTGTTTCGAGTGTGTGTATATGTACAGTTAAAGCTACCTAGCACCCGCCAACCAAAAATATACTGCAGTAATCAAGAGAGAGTGTGTAGTGGGCGAGGAACAGAGGCGTAGGATCTAAATACAGGAAGTGACAGACGATGAAGCGGAAGAGGTGAGCATATCATAACTTATGGGATGACGGATACATAAACTCATCAAGAAAAAAAATGCAAAGCAGCAGAAAGAAAGAAAAAAAGAAAAAAGTCCACCTTGTCCTTTCCCTTCCTAATCAAACCAGCACTTAAGCTTATGCCTTACCTTGTTCTAGCCGGCCCTAGCTATCTGGCAAAGTCCGAAAGAGAAGTTAAGGAGAGAAGAGGAGAAGAAGAAGAAAAAAAAGCCCATTCATAATATATAATTCAAAGAAGTGAAGTAAAAAAGCCAGAAAAAAAATACCCTTTTAGTAAAAACAAAACACCCAAATCGGAGCTGAAAGTATGTATACACTCTAAGGATAAGTAGAAAAAAGAAAAGAAAGAAGAAAAACACCCGATTAGAAAGAGACAGAAAAATGAACCACCATCTAAAGCCGGCAAATAAAACGGAAAATCAAAACAGAGAGAGCAAAAAAAAAAAAGGAAGGAAAAGAAAAATGCAATGCAATGCCTGCCTCCTCCCCCCCGGTTCCCAATGAACAAATTAAAGAAGAGTCCGCCTGAATGAGTGAATGAGAGATCAGAGAATGAGCGTGGAAAGAAAGAAAAAAAAGGAAATGATGAGGTTTGGGAATCCCCAGACAGTAGCCAATGATCGTGATGGTAAAAAAAAAAAACAAATAACAACAAAAGGGCAAGCAAGCAGGCTGGTGGGGGAAGGAAAGAACGGGGGAAAAAAGCAAAAAGCACAAAACGAAATTCAAGGGAGACCGGGGTGGGTGATGGGTTTCGATTCCGGTGCGACGGAACCACTATGTACTGACGGATTGATTAACCCCCCCCGCTCCCTCCAATCCCCTCCCCCCCCCCCCTTTAGCTTCCGCAGCCAACCAACCCGGATAGAGTAATTCGATTCGGTATGTTTAGCCACCGCCACCACCGCTGCTGCAACAACGGTGACCTGCAACAACAACGGTGATGGGGGCCGCCACAATCTTCAAATCTCCAGTTCGTACCTGTCAAGACCACAGAAACTAAGAAACCTCAGAGCAAACAAAACAATAAAACTCCGGGGGTCTCCCCCAAATTCCCAAAGCAGAAACACAAAAACAGAAACAAAAAAGCACAATATTTCCGCAATAAAATTGCGCATGAAATGGGGTTCCATTAAGAGGTAGTAAGTAGTTGTAGGATGACGTTAATAAACGAACCTTCCAAAAGGGTTTTAAAAAAGGAAAATGTGTTGTACAAAGAAAATGAAAAAAGAAAGAAGAGAGAGTTATTGCCAGGTGTTGATGCCAGAAGCCAGTCAGTAGGTTTTGACAAACCAGAAAGAGAAGTGCTGATCCCTGAACAAACTCGTACAGGGTTATTCGAGTTGTGAGTAGCAAACAACATGCAGGTAAGAAGCCTTCCTTTCTGTAGCGTCAGCTGCTGCACCTTTCCCACCCTCCTCCGACCAACCAGCAAAATCGAGCCCCTCCAATCTTTCACCACACCCATTAAGAGAAGAACACTGGATTGTGGTCTTGACTGCCGTCGTATCCCACACACCCCAAACGGTCCCTTCTCCAATCAGTCTCGGAAATAATCAGAAGCAACCCCAGCCAACCCTCCCTCATGCAAGATTAAACCCCACCCACCACCCCTCCTCGGAGAACCAGTCATCCAATACACGACTTCCGCTATGTTCCAAGACTGGCCCTTCCCGGATGATGATGATGAGCCCCACCAGCGGCCCCTCCTCCCCCGCCACGTCGTCTCTTCCTCATCTTCCACTCCGACTTTGCTACCTTCATGAGCAACTCCTCGTCCTTAACCGGAATCCAGCTAGTCAGAACCTTCATGGCGCCCTCGAAATCACTGCGGACAATAATGTCCTTCATCGAGTCAATTAGCGCCGCGCTCGTCGCATGTAAGATGTCTAGCGTTCCTCCAAACCCTTCGTCCGCCGAGATTGCACTTTCTCCTCCGGGCGCAGCTGGAGGTGCTGTTCCGAGTGGCGAGGATACCGATTTCGATTCGGAGATTACATCTGGGTCTCCCAGAAGCATGAACACATCCCAGACACGAAGCTGTGCTGGGAACGGCATGCTGTAGTTGAATAGGGTCAGGTACCATCGTGTGCCATAGGTCGTAGGACCAATGCCCAAGTGGTTCTACATTACAAAAGGAAGATTAGCATGCGTCCCTTCTGCCACGTTCCCGGCCTCTAATGTAACGCTATTACGCGAGCTGAGAAAACCTGGTGAGCAGGCTCGAGCCTAACTCGAAAGGACTGATAGCTCTAATCGGGGCTGGGGCCCGCCCATACAAGCTTATGCTATACCAGGCTGCCGTTTGGAGTCACTAGAAGATGCCATTTGTAGCACCCTCCACTGACAACAAACACATTCCTGGCATAATACGGACTTTACGCAAACAGTGCCAGCCCCCAATTCCTAGAAACACTATTGGCCAAGTGTAATATGCGCTAATAATGTTTCTAGAAAATGGAGCTGGCACTATTTGGATATTTGGATATTTGGATATTGGCAGGCCACGAAGCACCCAACAAAACACCATTCTGGTGTTATCCCCGAAGCTCCCATCATCCCATCCAAGGTCTTCCCAGCCCCCCAAAACGAATCCCCTCCTCCCAAAAGAAGAAGTTTTGCACTCACCAATTTCCTCGAAACCGCCCCACCTCTAATCCACCCATTTTCAAACTCCTCCAAAGCACTCATCAGGCCACCAAATCCCGCCTGATATAGCTTCTCCAGTCCCCTAAGCTCAAACATGCGGATGAGCATGACGAAGGCCGTCTCCTCATCATAGTAGCATAGCAGCGTGGCCGCCAGACTCGCCATCCCTTGCACATATCCCATCGCCGGGAAGTACAGCGACAGTGCGTGTAGCACCCGGAAGAGCAACCGCTGCCCGCCTCGATACCGCCGTCGGAACATGATGTGCGAGTTTATGGTACGAGGGACGTCAAGATCGATCTGAACGTCGTCTGCTGAGGGTCGTGTGATGAATTCCTGTATGATTATTATGTAGTAGTTAGTCGTACAATTCTAGAAATTTTTTTAAGTGTAGTTCTATTTTTGTAGAGGGAGGGGCTCTTGGGAGTGGTTTGGTTTTTTTTTGCATTTCTATGCTCTTTCTTTTCTTTCTGCGGTGATCTCATATTGCTGGATATATGGTTACCAGGTAGGTGCACACTGGAACCCAGAGATCATAAATTCAGCAATATGAGCATTCCGATCATTTCCCTCTTGTTTCTCAGAACGTGACCAAACCGTTTCCCAGGCTTCCCGCGACCCGAGACCAACAACCCAAAGAGACCACAACCCAAACAGGCCAGAACCCAGAGTAAAAACCCCAAAGAGTAGACTCGCGTTTGGGGGTACACCGAAGATGGGGAATGCCGAACTTTTGCAACCAACTACAGTACCTGTTTTCTCACCCAAATAATCCTTGTTCGTCATTCCCCAAACTTCGGCATACCCTAAAACCCCAAAGAGTAAAACCGCAAAGAGGCAAACCCAAAGAAGCCAAACCCCACAAACCCCACAAACCCCACAAACCCCAACCCAAGCCCCGCCACAAACCCCACCACAAAGAAAGGAAAAAAAAGAAAGAAAAAAGCCAAAAATCCAAGAAAAAGGGGCCCACAAACCGCATACATCTCCACCAACTCCCCATCCCCCCTCCCAATCCCCCTCCTCTTCCGACTCGCCGTCAAAAACGCATGCCACGCCGCGGCCCTCCAGCAATCCGGAATCCCCTTCCACGTGCGACTAATCAGCTTCGGATCGCCCGTCACAAACCCCCACTCGCACCCGCCGCCCCTCCCGCCCTCGTCCCCGCGCTCGCTCATCTTGCGCACGACCGCCATCTCACGCCACTTCTTGGCGCGGTTGTTCTCCTTCTCGCGCAGCAGCGCCGTGGCGCCGGGGAGCGGCGAGCGCAGCATCTCCGGCGCTGCGTGCGTAAAGGGCGAGATGCGCAGGTGCAGGTGGTGGCTCCGTTTTTGGGGGTGGTGGAGTGGAGGTGTAGGGCGGTGGAGACGCGGCGCGGGGGGTGAAGACGCGGGGGGTGGGGGGCGCGGTGCCGGCGGGGGCGGAGTGTCGGGTGGTGGTGGTGTGGATGAAGCCGTATCTGTAAGGTGGGGGGGGGTTGTATTAGTATTTTGTAAATATTTCTTTTTTTAATTATTTTCGATGTTGGAGGTCACGTGATATATAGAACCGAGTGATAGTTCTTGATTGAGAAAACGAAAAAAACGAAAAATGAAAAAAAAACCAAGAAACGTGGGAAACATGCAAACCCCCACGCTATGCACATGATATCCCAAAACCAGCCAAGGGCCCCAAAGGGCGAAAACAAAACAAAGCAGAAAGCAGAAAAAAAAGGGAAGGGGTTGACCACAAACCTGTCCACGTCGCTGCCATTCAAATCCTCCCAATCCTCCGCCCCCCCGGCCCTCAAATGCACGCTCCTCTCCAACTCCCTCTGCTCCTCCGCCGCCTCCTCCTCCTCGATCGCCGCGGCCTCCAACGCCTCCTTAATCCTCTGCTCCTCCTCCGCCGCCTCCGCCGCCTCCTCCTCCTCCTCCGCAAACCGCTCGTCGCCGCTGCCCACGAATGAGTTGCGCGACACCCGGCTCGCGCGCTTTCCCGCTTCCTCCATGATGCTGCTGACGCGCTTCGAGAATTGGCTGCCGGCGTCGCTTCCGCCGACGCCAGAGTCGTAGAGCGACCGCACCTTGAGGCTGAGCACCTCGTCCTCGGGCGAGCAGATGGACGGCGCGATCTGCGAGCGGATGCTCTTGCTGTCGGCGCCGTTGCGCGTCGGCGGCGGCGGCGGGGCGTCGACGATCGCGATGCGGGCGCGGCGGGCGTGCGGCGGCGGAGGGGAGGTCGAGCTGGTTGTTGACGCCGCGGTGGGCGGGCGCTGCGTTATTGATGGGCGCGGCGGGAGTGGCGTGTCGATGTCTGCGGGGCCAGGGCCGGGGTCGGGGTCGGACATTGCGATCCCGGGGATGTCGCCAGGGGGCTCGGCGATGGCGAGGCCGGGTATTGACGCTGGGGGGAGGTCGGCGATTGCGAGCCCCGGTATTGATTCTGGTGTTATTATTGTTGTGTGCTCGGGCTCAGGCTCTGTCACTACTAATGGTGTTGCTAGTATCACTGGCGCAATGTCGAGCCGCACGGGTTCGCCCTCGGGGCCGGTGGTGCCGGCGGTGACCTCGGCTGGGTGGTAGAGGTCCTGTGGCTCGGGCGGGGCCGTCTGCGAGCGCGGTGTGTGGGGGCGGGAGAAGTTTGGGATGGTCTCGTTTGAGCGGCGGGGTGTGCTGCCGGTAGCTTGGGTGCTTAGCGTGCTGCTGCTAGTGCCAGCCATTGTAGCGGCGGGCGGGGGCGGAGCTGGCGAGTCAGTGTTACTGCTTTGATGGTGAATAGTCTTAGAGAATTGTTGTAGGTAGATGTAGCAGTTTGCGGGGGGGATGGGCGGTGGTTAATGTGGAGATTGTGGTTGTGGGGGTGGTGGTTTGTTAATTGCCCGGGTAAACGGGGGTTAATGGCGAGGTAAGTAGTAGTACTACGTATGTAGGTGTGCTGTACTTAGGTAGTGGCAGTAGCAGCAGTTGTCTAGGCGATTGTGGATGAGTATAGCAGCCACTTCTTGAGCTTCGACGAAGCCTCTGGGGCGAAGGGCTTTAAAACCACTGCCTGCTGCTCTCTGCCACTTTTCACCGGATTGCAGAGGTGGTGGTGATGGATGGTGATGATGATGGAGGTGGTTGTGGAGGTTGTGGAGGTTGTGGTTGTGGTTGTGGTTGTCAGGTGTCGGTGGTGCAGTGTGCAGGCAGTGTGCAGCAGCAGCAGCAGCAGCAGTGGTGGTGTGCAGTGCAGTTGGCTGTGTGTGAGAGAGAGAGTGTGGGTGTGAGAATGTGGGCGAGTGGTGATGTGATGTGATGTATGTAGCTTGCTTGTAGAAGGGACGAAATGCAAGTCGACAGACAGGCACGTAGAGTACGGTAGAGTAGAGAGTACTATGGGGGAGTAAGCAGGCGCCGGCAGTTAATTGCAGGACCCAAAAGAAGAAGAGGACGAAGAAGCCCCACAGTAGTAGTAGGATGTAGGGAGTGTGAGACTCTTCTTGATCTTCTTCTGCCTAGATGCCTAGATGCCTAGATGCATAGATGCCTAGCTATGGACTCTATGTATGTATGTAGCTACTGGATACCTCAGTTCAGTTCTATGCTTTCCCCAGCTTCTTGGTCTTCTTTCTCTCTGCAGCAGCGCCCTTCAAATCTCCCTTATCATCTATCAGTCGTACAGCACCAGTACCACCAGTACCACCGGTACCACCACCACAGCCAGTCAGTCAGTAGCTAATCAGTAGCTTAACGGCTCCAGAGAGAGAAAAACATAAAGTCCTTAATTCCCCCCCTCGCAAAAAAAAGATTCCCTTCTTTTCTTTCCTTTTGGCACGAACCCACTTCTCCTCTCCTTTCCAAAGCCAATTTTAAAAAGAAAAGGAAGCCACTTTGGGACGGCCTGTCCACCCGCATCTGGACTGCCGAGAGTTGTCTTTTGGCTGGATCCAGCCGTGGGTGAGACAGAAAACCACCAAAGAAAAAAAAAGGGTGTGCGTTTTTTTCCCCGGACTTGCGTGCGGTGGGTGCAGCTGCAGGTTGGGATGGTGGAGGAGAAGGAGGAGGGCAGCGAAGTGCAGCACTTCCTACATGAACCCTGAGGCTAGTAGAGAAAGTGGAGTTTTGGGGGAGTCTCGCGATATATCTCAGATCTACAAGTATCTCTACATAGAGTAGTTGTTTATCTACTTTACTTTTGTTTGTCTTCCTCCTCCCTCCCTTTCGCACAAACACTCGCTAACCACACCTGCAGCCCCCCAACACCCACCCAACCCACAACCCACAAGTTCCCACAAACCCCAGCAGATCCCCAACCCACACCTTGCAAGTTGAACCCACGACAACCAATCAACCGCCCAACCCACGATATCCCTACCCGACGCGACAGCGGGCGATCTTTGTCTCAGGGCGGCGAACATTCTTTGTGGCTTCCGAACATCACTCACTTCCTTTCTCTCCTTCCCACCCACCACCCTTTTGGCAAAAATAGACACACTTTTGACAGGGCTGACCTGACAGACCGACGCGACCGATTGGATTGGATTGGATTGGACGGCGCGGCGGAGAGGGGTGGTGGAATGAGGCTTAAATATATATATGGGACCCCCGGTATGGATGAGCGAGTAGGATGAGCGAGTAGGAGAAAAGAGAAAGGTGAAGGGAGAAAGTGCGTATGCGTGCCTGCCTGCCTGACTGACTGAGTGAGGCTATAGATTATCTGCTCCTATGTGCAGGCACCAGACAGGCACCAAGGATATCTCGGCAAGCTGACATCACAAAGCTTGATCTCAACCCTCCATCCACTCATCGAACCGGCAGGTACCTACTCTGGCACTTTAATGTTTACTCACTCCCCCCAAAATAGAAACCCACCTGAAAAAACTGAACCCAAGGCATTTATTGTTCACTGTCCGTCGGATCAGCTGTCCCAGCTGTCCTGTCCTGTCCTGTCCTGTCCGATCGCTTGCTTGCTTGCCGATTAAGCAAAGCAAAGCAGCTTATGATGTACATTAGCTTACGTATATACGAACTGACCGGCCAAAAAAATCCGCGCGTTCACTCTCTTACTCTCTCTCTCTCTGCTCCTCCGGGCCGGTCGCGCGCGCGGTGGGAAAGGTAAAAGTAAAAAAACAAAAAAACAAGGCTGCTTGCTTGCTTGCCGGCTTATGTAGACAAGGCAAGGGTTAGGTTTTTGATTTTTTTCGCCGGCCGGACGACTGGACTGGACTGGACTGGACTGCTGGACTGGAGTGAGGTTATGTGATGAGGTTATGTGATGATTAACGGTCGGTCGGTCTGCCTGTCTGTCTGTCTGTCTACCTTCATACCAGCAGTCGTTAGAACAAAGGGCGGCGTACTGTGTTTGCGTAGAGTAGAGTAGAATAGAGTAGAGTAGGCGAGGTGCATGCTTTCTACTCTATCATTAAGATCAAGGATGTACTCTACTTTATGCTACTACCTGCATGCAGCTGGAAGAGAAAAGAGAATGTACTCTAGAGTACCTTACTCAGAGTACGGTCCAGAGTAGTACCCAGAGTACCTACATTAACATAGGGCATCTACTCTACAATTAAAGTCGGTATATTACTCTACAAGGCTTACAGCTATCGGCTTATCATACAACCGGCTGCTATGATATGAGCCTATCTAGAGCCTATCTAGATTACCGCGCCCTTCTAGATTCGCGACGCATACAGTGGCGGCCGCGTACCTATCTGTACCAACACTTGATCCAAGAAGTTCATGATCCAAAACCCAACCCCAACAGCAGCCCACCACCACCACAGAAAGTGAAACCTTCACACCCAGGTAGGGAAGATCAAGCTTAGACCCCAGAGGTCCAGCCAGGGGTACGCAAACACCCAACCCCACTAACCCTCTCTCCCTCTAGCTCTAGACATCCCCTATGATCTTTTTTTTTTTTCGTTCCAGCAGCACATACGAAAACACCCCTATCCTAAGAGGCTATCCCATCCCGAGACTGTATATACCCAGCAGCTCTACATGTAGGGTCGTGCTCAGTACCCGAGTAGAAGTACAATAGTAACCAAATCTCCGGGGCTGGCTCTGCGCCAAAAATATAGCCATCGATCGGTCGGTGGGCTAAGCTACCTCCCATGCAAATTGCGAGGTATCGAGAACTGTCCAAGATGGTATCAGACTGCGGCTGGTAGGTATGGTTAAGCTAAACCAGACGAGGAGGAGGCCTAGATACCTGTAGACAGGGGTTATTGAGCCTCCATGCATGGAAGGCACTAGGGTTAGGGGACTAGAAACTCGCTTGGCACGGCGGTGGTTGGGGGTTTCTGAGAACTTGAGGTTGGAGGTTTCGGGTGGTGTTGGTAAGCGTATGGTAAAAAGGAGGCTTGCTGGGATTCTGGGGATAGGTAGGGTAGGGAGCGAGTAACAGCAGCGGCCATGGGTGAAACCTCTTGCGCTGCACTGGTGGTATCAATATTGGTGCGTTAGTAGGTTAATTGTATGTCTGCAATGCAGTGCATGGAGTGCGGTTTTTCAAATATGATATCTGCCGTCGATAGAAGTATAAAAGCAGTACGAAACGAAATTGCGCGTTTTATCCCCCTGATGATCAAACGGCTTTTTGATAAATATATCTCCGAGTGACATCAATGAGGCCTCCTCAACTTTTCCGAGGGCGTTTCTCCACACCAAATGTACGTACAGCCTTATGATAAAGACCGCCATATATTCGATAGCCTATATAGGCAGTCAGCAAAAGAAAACATAATCTCGACACCGCGGCCACAAGCTTAATCCCTCGAGCAGCCAGTCCTTTACTCATTACTGCCAACATGTACAACGTACGTCTTGATTAAGGTTCCAGTTCACAACGAAGCGCTTGTGTACGGCGCAGATCACACCGGTGTTCACCAAAGTCATGGTTATAGACTGTTATCTAGTCCTTCATGACCGAAGACAGGAGAGAAGTGTATTACATGGCCCGGTAAAACATCAAAAAGAGGAGCGGGTCCTTAAAACAGAGAGCACACATCATCTGGACAATATCAGCGTTCTATTGTATTGCAAAAAGGATAGGTAACGAAGCATGTGAAAGGCTGACTGTACCTCCCGCTCTCAGTCTCTCCAACGAATTCCTCATTTGCTTGGATTTCCTTCATGGCTTGCATGAGGCGAGGCGGCTGATGGATTGCACACCCACATACACTCTCGAGGAGCACATGTGTAATATAAACGAAACATTCGTTACCACTACTAGGGTGGGCATTAAAGTTTCGTCATAGTAATGTCGAGTCTCCAATCTGATGGTCTGGCATGTCTCCAGGCCGAGACTTGAGACTCGACCGCGGAACGATCGAGCAAAAAGAGGCTTCTGGGACCATATCATTTACATACTTATTTATGAATCCGGATACTATGTAGGCAGCAGTATAACAATGTGCCCTACTCATCTCTACAAATGGTGGGGCATTTGATAAACCACTTAATTTCTGACCGGGCAAGATTACTATGCTGTCCTGGGTGCTCCATGCATGCAGTACGAAACGGAAAAAAACGGGGCGAAGTCGCCAGGATGTTTGGTTTTACCCTCGTATCTCTTTGGTATACGAGAATACTGTGTGGTGTATCACATTTGCCCTCATTTCGTCGTGCATGCTGGAGTAATGCTCCCTAGGAGATTCGAAAAGGATTTTCGATGCCGCAAGCGCCACCATGCCGATTGGGATATAGTACCTCGTTTGGAAATGTATGTCAGGTATTCGGCGGTAGCGAACTTGGATACCAGGAGAGCATAAATGTTCTGATATGATCTTTTATATTGGCCAAAACTATGTGTGTTCTGTCAGAACCTCGAAATTAGGAATAATTGGTCTAGCATACTAAATAATTCACGGTGTTAACTTGCCAGACATGTGATTACGCTGCTTAGGGAGTCATGAACTCATAAGTGTCGTTGGTGTTAATGAGACCGCACTTGTACATGTGCCGGCCGGGGGTGATCTATATATCAATATCGAGTGATTGTGTATGATAGCTGCATTCATATACAATCACTCGGTCCAGATGAGAAGAAAGCTGCACCGAATTTATTATAGAGTCGAAAGGGGGGGGGGGGGGGGGACAAATAGATTGATTAGAAAGTTCCTAGGACTTTAGTTAAGGGAGGCGTATGGGAGTACTCCGTCAGGAGCTGTCGGTTATCCTCCATTTTGAAAAGAAGTAAGCAGCACTCCAATCCACAATCCTATATACCCGCCACTAGCACCACCATTTGTGGACGTAAACACCCCGGTACACCCAGAGACCGCTTCGGAAACGGCTATAGAAGATCTAGAAGTCATATATCGAGATTATGAAATCCCATCTCCGGATCGAGTGATAACTTATGAATATGGTTGTCATTTTTTTCTTTTTTTCTTTTTGGTTTAATTCAAAAGATGACAGGCATATTTGGGGACAATCCCCCCCAGCTATTGCCCCCACCTCCCGGGTTGGATATATGCAAAGTGGGCGATCTTGCGGTGTTGCCGACCGCTTTGGGTCCCTCAAGGTATAATAAGCCTTCATTCCAGAGTTCGAACCCGCTATGAGGCTTTATCACGAGCTTCCTCGTGTAGTAACTACAGTCAACCAGTCAGCTTTGAACTCCACGGCTTTTTTTTTTGTTTAATTCATTGATTGTTTGAACTCCACGGCATTAAAAGTGCTCTTCTGTCATTCCTCATAACCTTTCGGCTTATTACCATCATCCATAATAATAGATTAGACTCATTTCGAGCACTTTATCAGTAACTACTTCGAGTGTGTACAGCGTGTACCTCACTAAGCTCAGCCACTCCCTAAAGGAGGAGTTACATACTGCATAATATTGCACAGGCATCCTCAGTTGCATTCCGCTCATCAACTCGGGTGAAGCATAAGGCATTTCGGTGTTAGACCTCATGAATCTATCACTGCTTCTCCAGTTGGGATTCTGATTCTACTATGAAGAGCTGTCGGTCAACGGGGTAGTCTTTAGGACTTGATCGTAGGCTAAGGATTGATTGCTTCTTTCCTCGGATGCACGGTTTTCAGCTAGAGATCTCAAGTAAGCTTTGTTGGTGGCATGTGAGGCTCAGACCAAAGTACCCCAATTGGTTTTACCACAACTCACACAGCACATAGAAAGGGCCCAGTCGGCCAGGTATGCATGTGCCCGAGAGCATAAATGGCTCAAATGACTTTAAGCCAGCTCCATGCCGTCATCTGCCATTGTAGCTTAATAGCTATGGTGTCGCCCAGAGGGGCCGAGGTCTAACTCACATCACCAGCGGTGGTTCGAGTCCCTCCCAGGCTTGGTCGAAAGACTGGGTGACTGGGTAAAAAAGGGATTGAAGCGAGAGCAGTGCTCCCCCTTTTGCTGCCCTGGGGTCTGAAACCCGGGTTAGGGTTTTGTATCTTGGTTGTGCTCCGAGGTTGTGTTTTTGGTTTGCTGTCGTTAATCTGTCTTGAGATTTATGAGCGTCGTGCGAATCACGGGGGCTTTTGAGCACTCGTTGTAGTGACGGGTAGTTATAGTCATGAATAATCACTCGACCGGCCAGTAGCCTGAATCTCTTTCTGTGATCGTGAGTGCGTTATCGAGTGATACATCATGATTCTAATTCGGTTCATCTGGCCTGTCGCCCTCCCCCATATGAGTTAATCCCCTTTGTAAGCTCATTTTCTTGCTCATATTATGATCCTCATGGTCGTATAACTTACCAACACAATTCTACACTTCTGTATTAAGTACAAAAATACATCCATCTATTACAAGCTGACCCATCCCTACGCCCTCGCCTTTATTATATCCGCCGCCTTCTCCGCAACCGCGTACACCGTACTCGACAAATGCGTCGCAGGAATCAGCGGTATCACACTCGCATCCACAATACTCAAACCCTTCACCCCATACACCTTCAGCTGCGCATCCACAACGCCGCCATGCTCCCTCTTCATCATCGCGCACGTACAGCTCGGGTGCGCCAACGTCGGCACCACATTCGCCCTTATCGCCGCCCTGATCTCCTCATCCGACTTCACTGTCGCAGGGTCCGGGTTCGTTATGATTGGGCCGAGATCCTTGAGTGCCGGCATGCCTACGACGCGGCGGAAGCTCTTGATCATGTCGACGAAGATCTCGACGTCGGCGGGGTTGGAGAAGATGCGGTAGTCGACGACGGGGTTTGCGAACGGGTCAGTGGAGTTGATGGCGATGGAGCCGCGGCTGAAGGGTTTTTGGAGGGAGTTGAGCATGCCTGGGAGGGCGCTGAAGGCGTTTTCGCTGACGGCGATGCGGCCCGAGGCCATGAAGGAGGTGAGGAGGGTGCGTTGGAACTTGTAACCGGCAATGACGGTTGCGTCAGTGTTGGCTGGGAAGTGAGCGGAGGGATCTTGCCGCTGGATGAGGTTGAGGAGGGACGATACTCGGGTTTTGTTGGCGATTTCCGGTAGGGTTAGGAAGGCGGCCGCTGTGCCGAAGCCGCTGGAGTATGGCCCTGTGGAACGAGTGAGTGACTGTGATCCACGAAGATAAAAGGGTTTCGGGAGTCTCTATGTAACAACAACTCTCCCCCGGCATTCGAATCGGGAAGGCTTACCTGTGCGATTATATTTATACAAGGCCAACATCTCCGCCGCATAAGTAGCGTTTGACATATTAGCCGGGCTCGGGTTCATATCATTCGTGACTACATACATGTAAGTAGCATCAGTATATTTTCTAGCTTCAAGTTCAATTAAACGGCCGCCACTTACACAATCCAGCAGTATAATACGACGGGTGGTCCTGGAAGTTCGCCCCTACTCCCGGCAGATCAACCACTACCGGAATCCCGAGACTCTTTAAAAGCGTCTTAGGTCCGATACCAGATAGTTGCAGAATCTGTGGAGTATGTCCTGACCCTGCGGCAAGAATTATCTCTTTCTTCGCTGATATAGTTGTGGTTGAAGCGGTTGGCGAGGACGCAAACTATTCATATATTCAGTTTTCAGTACTCAAAACGCGGGCCTATATCTCATAATACCTTAACAGCAGAAGCTTTTTTCCCCTCAATAACCAATTTGGTGACAGTTTGACCAGTCAAGAGATGCAGGTTTGGGCGGCCCTTAACAGGTTCATAGTGCGCGGTTCTAGCGTAGGACCGGGTGCGGGTGACCGGGTCGACTGAGTTGGAGAAGTAGAAAGCACCAAGTGCGTTGCCGTTTGTACCGTCTCTAGAGTATGGGATGCCGAGTTGTTTCCAGGCTTTGAAAACAAATTCTTAAAAGGATGATAGATAATATCAGTTATCAAGCTATATTACGCCCTTTGTATAAAGGGCCTAGATTAGAAAGAGTTTTGAATCTAACTTACTCATAGCAGGGTAGTAGTATGTTGGCATCGAAGACATAACCGGTCCCTTGAACCCATGCGCGGAACGGTCGTACTCTATCCCCCATTCCTTTACAATCTCGGGTGGCGAGGGCGTAAAAGTCTCGCTCTAAAAGATAAGTTAATTATATATACGATCCTATATCTAGGCCCACCTTAATTGAATCCAACCTGAAGAAGAGGGTCATACCTTCTTGAAGTACGGAAGTAGCCCTTCCCATCCCCACCCTTGATTTCCCAGAGCTTCCCACAAATCATAGTCACCTCTTGACCCTCTATCAAAAGCTTGACCATTTACAACAGTCCCACCGCCAACAACGTGCGCAGCGAGAAAGCTGTAGGTGCGGTTATTAATACCAGGCTGGGGCTCGCAGGTCATGTTGTACATGTATTTTTTCCCGGTACCACCTGCGAGCCCGGGAACCAGGACGCTGTCTTCTTGATCGTCGCTGTAGGAGTTAAGGGTTTAGTACGAGGGATATTGATGATCGAATAGTATGCTGCAACTTACAGGTTCCCAGATTCAATGACGAGAACGGTTTCTGTTTTACACAGTCAGCCTATTATCATTGGAATATAGTAGATATAGAGGTTCGGGAGTCTTACTATCTGCATCTTCAGTTAGCCTGTCAGCAACAGTAAGCCCACTCGTACCGCCTCCGACTATAATATAGTCGTAGTTTGCAAAAAGTGCTACATCGCGCCCAACGATATTTAGTGACGCAGGTGCAGCCCACCCCCCCGATATGAGCGAAAGAGTTGCCAGTAAACCGGTAGTTAGGTGTATACGAGCCATTGTAATAGACGGTCCTAATCTTCGAATAGAGGTAAAGATGTGAGAGGGAAGACCAAGGCCCCTATGTTAGACAACATAATCCACTGTCGTCAATTTATAACTATATGTTCATGCTCGGACCCCGTACCACATCTTCTCGATTGAGCTCATGCTTAAGTCCTTTTCAATCAAGAGTCATTAGGATAAATCCGCTTTGGGTTTATTCAAGACTCAATAGTAAACAACTAACCAAAAATGGAATTGATATTGAACAAGTAGATTGAGTATGTATCACTACCAGCATCTGTGCCGCCATGATTAATCCAAAAGGCACATGTTTTGTACTACCATTCGATCTCACCGCTACTTTGATAGTGAGGATTGGTGTCGCTTAAATATAAAAAAAAAAGCACTTAGTTGATCTATATCACTGCACTGCGCTTGGTCATCAACAGCCGAGAGGAACTTTTAATTAGACGCCGTATTCATTAGTAAGTGCCGTACGACGTGGGTACACGTGCAAGGTAAATCGATGGCGAGAGACCCTTTGGAGCTATTATCTTTCCATAGATTGCTCAAAACCTAGGAGCTTTCGTAGCTCGGCAATAGATATGGGTGCTAAACGGAACTGTTGAGTACATAGATAGCATGATATAAACTTCACTTCAGCGTAACTTTTGAGTCGTTAGAGGTATGACTGAAAGCGGGAAATTGAGTGTAAGTAGGCTAAATTCTAACTCCTAAAGAGGCAGGGTCTAGAAATACCTAATGATTTGTCGACTGGACCAGCTGATGATCAATGATACAGAGAAGCGATCCTGTATCCCCAATGTATAATAGGTACAATAGCTAAAAAGGGGTCAGTATAAAGACAAAGTCAAAAATTGGAGGATTTGGAACCGTGCACTTGGTATCATACGCCACTGTAACTATTAGTAGTTTTAAGACCTTATAGGTTAATAAGACGTGCAGCCCTTACTGCCAGATACATAATGTTGTCTCGCGGTAACAAAACCAAGATCACAAATCTGGCGACACGCGTAAATACATGTAGGTAACGCCGTTTATATAATTAAGTCAGAGGCATCAGAATGTGATCTCTTAAAACCTCGCCAATCTAGGGGAATCCGATATGGTTGTAGCACCATCCTATTTCGTAGCATAGTGGAACCCATGGCATGCGACATTCAGGAACTGAACGCTGTATCTTATTTGCGGGGGGCTATCAAAGTTCGGCTGTAAGTACCGGCCGGCAGGTTGCGATGATACCTAGATAGACTGGCTCGACCGCGAAGTCAACACAAAGTAGAAAAGACCAACTGATCCAGCAAGAGAACATTGAAGCTCTGTATCCCGGATGGGATTGCATGTAGATGATGCGATGTATGTTATATTGTGAGCTTAAGCTTTAGGCCACGTGCACGCTCGCCCGTTGGCCTCTTTTTCTGGCTAGCAATCACGAAACATCACTCGATTTAGTGTATGCTTGGGCTCTGGGAGACTTATCGGGCCGACTAATGTAGTTCTTCACGATCATCGTGTAAACAGGGTGAATTCATAGTTTTGATCATAGATTGTTTTAAGGATTCGCATACACAGCGAAATTCCGTCGAATATATTTTCTTCCCTGTTCCTAGGCACTCATTATATTATGCTCGGTTTAAAAGTTCATTCATCCAGAATTTTTGTGTAGGTTATAGTGCATGAAGCACCTCGTGACCTACAAGGTATCAGCGACCCCGAGTATTGTGTACCCGGGTATGGGAGAAAGAACCAGAAAATGCAATAGGGTTATTTGTATGGCAGAGCGGCGCCACTCCATACAAACAATCCCTGTATCGTCACTTGCATTTTCTAGTTCTTATTTCTGTACCCGAGTATATATCGAGAAATGGATCTTGATCATAGCATTGTAGCACTGTTGTCTTTGGCTCTTGGCGTTTCGCATAAAGTTCCTTGCGTCATCGCGGTACGGAAACGCGCAGATGAGATCCGGATGAATCCTCGGGGTTCGTGAAAAAGGAAATACAGATCGATATATTGTACTCTATCTGCATGTATCAAGCCGGTTCTTCCTGTGTTTATGGGGATATTGTTTCTTGCGACATTCTATGTGCAAAGGATGGTAAGCGTTCCGCTCGATCAAACCACGGAACAAAGGGAAATTTAAGGGAAGATATTGTTTTAAAGGCCACTCTTTGATTGTTTCACGAAGAACCTATATTGCTGTAAACCCCATTCTCTCCAGAAAATGCTATTTGAACTCGAAACCCCAAACGCACCGACCCGATGGACTGGATGGTGTTCGTAATGCACTCCGAAAGAGGCATCTGGCCAGGGATGTTCTCTGGTGTTGAGGACAACCCCGAGCTCCTTTTACCCCTCGTAAACCATCTGGAAGCTGCATAAGTCTTGGCACCGTGGAGCTTTGCCAATGCCATTGGAACATCACCATCCGTTCCAGAATACCCCAGAGACAGTTGATGAGCCTTGGATCTGATATCTGATAGGTACTAACTGATCTTGATAGGTCTTGCATAGAAAAGTAAGTAAAGCATTACTCCGGCCTACGAGGAAGCTCCCTCCACTGCTTCACACCCCCTCACACCCCCCACCACCAGCCATCAGGCAAACACTGACACAATCACAGCCACAGCCATCTTTCTACATCATCTTACGAAGGACATACGCATACGCAGCCCCCGTATTACAGGACACACTCCAACAACCACGGTCTTTTTTATTATATCCTCTCTTCTCCCCCCACCCCATCCCCCCTAATGGACTTAGGTGATCCGCTCAACGGCTTTGAGCTTCCTCCAAAAGTCCCCAGAGTACTCCCCGCGGACCTTCCAACGTCATTAGACGACCGTCGAAGAACGCCTCCTCTCACTACCGAGACCGAAGTCTACGACGCCTGGCAAGGTGGTATGGCATCCTCCGATTCGAAACCCTCCCCATACTCTCGGGACTTCTACCTCCCGCCCCAGCATTATCATAATCCCTATGATCAAGATGATTTCTATTCCTCTTTTACTCCCCCTGCTTCTTCTGCTTCTTCATCTCCCGGCGACTCCAGACGCAAACCTAGGAATATCATGATGACCAGTAGTACTGACGGAGCGATGATGCCCCATCTTCGGTTTACAGGTGAGCCTCAATTCATCACCGCGCCGGTACCTGCCAGGTTAAACTTCAACCTCGATCCGGACTTTCGCGATGAAGACGATGACGTAAAGGGAATTGCGGATAGCGATACACGCCTGGTCTCTATGCTGGCTGCCCAGGCCGCCTTCAATGATGGGTCGGGCTTGGAAGATGAGGATGAGATTGCCGATAATCCGAAATTATCGGACAAGGAGAAAACGGATCTTTTACAACGTGCGCTCAACATGGCGGCCAGCAACGGAGACGAGGGAAAATGTAGGAGAATACTAGAAGGTAAAGGGAGACAATACATCGATGTTAACGCGCCGGATGAGGAGGGAACTAGCCCGCTGATATATGCGAGCTGCTTCGTAAGTCATGCTTTTTTATGGTTTTCCACGCAACGCCGGCGGGAGGTATCTTGGCTGAATTCGAGGTGGAATTTGCGATAGGGACATGAAGATGTTGTCTCTGCGCTGTTGGACGCTGGTGCAAATGTAGACCAACAGGATAGGCACCAGTGGAGCTCCCTGATGTGGGCCATGACGAATCGCCATAAGGGTATTGCAAAGCTGCTGTTAGACCACGGAGCGTCGGGAGAGATTAAGAGCTCTTCTGGAAGGACGGCGTTTGATTTTATGCCTCCAAATAGCGAACTTTCAGACTACTTGCACGAAAGCGGGTATATTGGCTCGGCGGGGGTCAGTGATGATTTCTACGACACAGGCTTGGCGCAGGACAGGTTTGAAGAGGAGATGGCAGAGAACGAGCTCAAGAGGCGGATGATGATGGAGAGTGCCATAAATCTAGAGGTAGATTTATCGAGTTTGGGACTGGATGAGCAACAGGAGGTAAGTGCGGATATCCGAATATACGCCGGGGGTGTGCTTGCTGACTTATAACAGCTACCCGAGTCAGAGGAAGAAGAAGAAGGACAGGAATTCGTGTGGGATAGATGTTTGAATGATCAAATGTTTGTGTTTCAAGAGCATGAGCTAGATCGAGTGCTTGAGGTTGTGATCACCAATATGCTACCACAGCGATCACCCAGTCAGAAGCCAGTGCCTGCGAATGTACTTTTCCTGGCCGCCCGATATGCCCATTATCATAGTTCTCAGGAGCTTCTTTCTCGATTACTTCTCTCGGCAATGGAGAAGATCAATAATGTAGTGGAGCGGCATCAATGGGATATGACGATCCTCGCATTTTGGATCTCCAATGCAACCCTACTCCTCCACTATCTCAAGAAGGATGCCGGTCTCGTAGGCGCAACAATAAATTTTCAGCAAAACCTTTCGGAGCTGATAAACGAGATCTTTATCCTCATCATCCGGGATGCCGAGCGGAGGATGGATAGGGTTCTCGACCAAGCCATGCTTGACCACGAAACCATCCCTGGGTTTGAAGACGTTCATTTCCAAAACGAATGGCGGTTATTCAAGACTAAAAAAAAATCCCCCGAGCCAGCAGGAGAACGGCGGTTCCGTCCGCCTTCCCCAAAACAGCGCGCAAAACCGAGCCCGAGAAATATTACATCTTTACTCTCGTCAACACTATTCGTATTGGACTTGTATGACATTCACTCAGTGATCATTTCTCAAGTTCTTAGCCAATTGTTTTATTGGCTTGGTGCAGAGCTTTTTAATCGTATCATGTCGAACCGTAAATACCTTGCGCGAACAAAAGCGATGCAGATCCGTCTCAATGTCTCCACACTTGAAGACTGGGCACGGACAAATAACAGACAGCCCGAACACTATGAATCCGGCTCACTGACAACAAGCGGCGAAAATACAATCGAGGCTGCGCGACGGCATTTGGTACCAGTCATCCAACTGCTCCAATGGCTACAATGCTTTACCTCCCTGGGTGAAGATCCTGGTGCGCTACAGTCCACAACGCAACAGTTTACTCGACTCAACCCACAGCAGCTTCTTCACGCGACGAAGAACTACAGGCCCGAAGTTGGCGAAAAGACCTTGAACCGCGATGGAATGAAATATCTTCTTGATCTTAATGTATCATTTTTCGATTCCAAGGCACGCCGAAAATCTCGGAGTGTGTCTATATCAACATCCAATGTGTCCTCCAGTGGCCGCTCAGCAACTCAAACTCCCACCACCCCTACGGGCTCCCGTTCAAGTACTGCGCTTTCCCCGTCAAAAACACCGCCTTTCATCACTGCCACTTCTCCAGGCGGTCTCCATACATCCGAGCCAGCAGAGGAAGAAGAAGACAACAACGCACCTGAAAATCTGCTCCTCGATCCTGCACTCATGCTCCCTTTCTCGTTGCCAACGAGTACAGATATGTTACTAAGCTACGGCGCAGGGTTAGGCGGCACAAACAGAGAACGGGAGAAAAAGTATCAACCCAGTGTCCCACCAGAATTTCTAGCCAAGCTAGATTTTGGGCAAGGAAGGAGTAACGGTGCCAATAATTTTGGCGGAGGCTGGGAGGATGAAGATTGACAACGAAGAAAAGCGGCGTGGGCGGTAGTGTAGAGAGGACTTGTAGTGGCGGTGGAAAAAAAGAAAAAAGGCCAGGTTTCTTGTTTTTATTTTCAACTTTTTTCCCCTTTTATTCTTTCATATCTTATTATTTCTTCAGTGGGACGGAAAAAATGGGAATTGAACTGATTAATCAACGCAATGATTGTTTCTTTTATTTTTCATTTTTCATGGGATTTTCGTCGTCGTTTTTTTTCTCATTTGTCACAGGAATGCATCTATATATTTCTTTGTTTTTAGTTAGGGCGAACTTCATGCGTGGTTGAATTTGCATTTATAATCATAAATGCCAGGACTAAGCACGTGTCGAGAAACTTGGGCCCTGCAGATGCGAGTGACTGGCTATGATCAAAGGCCATTGAAGAAGGTAAAGCAATGCCGAACGGTTCGATGAGAGGCCATTTACGTCGCGAGCCGCCCATGTATGTATCCCGATAGTCAACAAATTAGAAAGGAATATGATGTCAATATAGCTGCATGTATTATGAGAGAATTAGAATTAGACAGGCTATGATGATATATTCGCATATTACTACGTAGTACCTACATTCGTAGTGGCAAGCCATTCAATGTTAGCAAAACCAAAACATCCGACCAATATCTAAGATAACATGAGCGAACAAAGCATCTTTGCGACAAACACGGAATTAAGTGTATCAGCACTTCGGCCCCTGTGTTTGTATCTGTGCAGGATGTTTGTGGCCGTAGTCAGGGTTGTTTGTTATCCCTACGCTACCTGTCCTCATCCCTCATCCTCTACTGCACCACTATCCTATCGTTTCTGAAATGTTCATCACCAAACACCCGCGCCATCGCAGCGCCTTGTGCAGATCAAGATAAAGGCCTAGATACGGGAAATCAATGCACCACACCCATGAAAGAGATTGCCCAGGAGCTAGCTAGGACAGCCTACAAATTCCCAACACACAACTGTGCCTACACTAGTTGATCTGTCTATTTAATGCCGCCGAGCTTCACTGCATTGTGGTTGGCCAGGCCACAGGCTGTGCACATATGTTCAGCTCAGGGGAAGAAGGGACTATCAAACACCAGGACTTCTAGTGATTTCCTTGGTGCCGCTGGAGGCTCCACTAGGAGTTATGAAGCGACCACATCTAGCGAGAATACTAACGACCAACCTCAACAAGGGAACCCGGGTACGCGGGAAACAAAGAGCGATCGGTTCGGTTTGGAAGCGCGGTTGCTCTTCATGCATCATAGGGACTCCGATCTATCCTTTATAAGTCAGTGTGTGTTCATCCCATCACCCTAAGTCCGTACCATGATGATACATACGTACCGATATGCATGCCATCGATGATTAATAAAATATTGCAAAATAGCAGTCATATCATATCGAAACCAGCAGCCCCTTCCCCGTGCGGAAACACACACTGGAAAACCGGCAACACGTTTGTTTTGTTTTGGATGAGACACCGTGCATCACTCGGTTTCGGCACATGCCAGCTTGAGTTACATTCTACCACCGGAGCTCTCCAGAAGGGTCTAGACTACATTCTTTTTGTCGGCTACGCATGATTACTATAGTACAGCGTGGATAATACCCGTTACTGCCATGTAGATCTACCGTTGTCTTTATGAAGATCAATGATGACCTTTCTCCCCCTTATTTGTCACCGCTCCCGAAATGGCAAGGAGGAAGGAGGCTCGTCTCGTTTAGATATACGCAATTTTCACACCCTGCAGATGCGGTTGTGATGATTTTGGAAGGGCAAACCATATCTTGTCTATATACAGAAACAGACGCCTTCCGCCCACAGGCAATACTAAACCCAAAAAAGAAAATATCATCAATACATATCTGGCCTTTAACAGGGAACTTCCTCGCCAAATATCAAAATGTATATTCTGGTAGGGAGATTGTGCCTACGAGGGAGCGAAGATAACTAATCCAGTGATTAGGATCATTGGCCTTTTGGAGGGGTTGTTGTTACACATGGGATTGTTTTAGTTTGAAAAAGCTTGGCCGTGCCACGTTGGAGATCGGGAGGATCGTGAGGGTTAGGGTTTCTTCATGTCGGGGCTAAACTTGACAGCGGGCGGTTGCAAAACGTTTTGTTCGATAGGGCTGGCGCCTAATCAGCAGGATAAAACGGGCGAGTGATAAGAAATGATTCGCTTGCGCATGCACGATAGCCAACTACACTTCAAAGCAAAACAGAATTCAATTCTTTTCAATGCCTAGCTAAAAACTTTAAAAAAAAAAAAAGAAATAAAGAAACGCCCCAATTCGAAAAACATTTACTCGTCCTTCTCGTCTGCCCAGACGTTATAGCCAAAGGTATCCTTCATGTTCACGAATCTCGTGTGCCTTCCCTTTGCAACGGCGTTGATGGCCTGGAAGTCCTCCTCGGTCATGTCATAGTCCTGGAAGTTGCTGATGATGCGTGTAGGGTTGACACTCTTAGGAAGGACACAGTACCCCCTCTTGACACCCCATGAGATCAGGGTCTGCGCTAGCGTGTGGCCCGTCTTCTCCGCGGCGGCGTTCAGGGTCTTGTTCTCTGAAACCTTCTCTCCTGTTGAGGGGACCTGGTTCTGGGAGCCAAGCGGAGAGTAGGCGATGAGGAGGATGTCTTTCTCCTTGCAGTACTGGAGGAGCTCTTCATTGGGGAAGAAGGGGTGGATCTCGACTTGGTTTGCGTGAGGCTTGACCTTTGCAAAGCCAAGGAGCTGGTCGAGGCCTGGGATAGTCCAGTTGCTCACACCGATGGCTTTGGCTTTGCCGGCAGCGTAGAGCTCCTCCATGGCCCGCCAGGTGGGCTCAGGGTTGTTGGTGAGGTCGTGCTTGATCACATACTGGAGACGTAGAAGCACTGTCAGTTGTGCCGTCCGTTTGCTATCATGATTAACAGGGTCTATCATACCTTGCCATCAGCCCCAATCTTGGGCATGTACTCGTCGGTTCGCTCCGCGGCAACGGGCCAGTGGACAAGGAAGAGGTCGACATAATCGAGTCTGAGCTTCTTCAATGAATCCTCCAGGGACCACTTTACTTCCTCAGGCTCGTGCAGGTGGTTCCACACCTTGGTGACAACAAAGATGTCCTCACGCTTGACAGCCCCATTGCTCCCCTCGAGGAAGTCATGGATGGCATCACCAATCTCCTCCTCGTTCTGATAGTACCAGGCACAATCAAGATGCCTGTAAACCTGGTGTTAATCTCTTGATGGTAAAAGTACTCAAATGGTTTTGATGATTACCTGTATCCAGCCTTCAATGCTGCAAGGCAAGCCTTGTAGGATTCACCCTTTGAACCCTCGTTTGCGAAGGTTCCGAATCCAACAGCAGGAATCTTTGCTCCAGTGGGCAATGTGAAGGTTCTTCCCAAAGACATGATGATGATGATGATGTTGTTGTTGTTGATGTTGTTCTTGAAGAAGGGAGATTTGTGTTTGTGTGAGGGGCTGTTTAGAAATTGGGACTTGTGCTTTTCGTTCTTTCAATCTATCCTTTTCTTTCAGAAGGTTCTATCAGTCGGCCCACAACGCTCTATTATCTACTTTGATACTATACCTTCTTGAACAGAACGAAACTGCGTTCTCCCGACATGAAAATACCCGCACTGATGTCATCGAGTGAATTTCTCAAGCAGATCTGGCCGGGAGAAGGTTACTGAAACCACGGCCTGCATCTTCGAAAGGACTTCGCTGTGCAGGGTGTTCCGCCTCCAAGCCTACGGATTCATCTACAGTTAACCGAAAAGGCCGTATTCCAGCCGCCTATGCAGGTTCACTTTGTCGATCCCTTCTGAAGGGTCAAATTTTTCTGCCCAAATCCACGAGGGAACGACTAGAGACTCCGACCCGAGGGAATTTCATTGCCTGGTTGCTCTGCCGGCCTTACGTCCGATACCTCGATTTCAGGAGTGCCGAAAGTATGACGCAACGCCAACGCGCCCACGCTCTCCGGCCGCCTCCGCGCAGGTGCGACTAAGGTTTAGCTGCATTAAGTTTTTCCGAGAACGTACCAGCCCGAGACATCTCTGACGTCCACCCGCTGCTTGAAAGCTGGGTGCAGGGATGTCATTATCAGTACGCGACAACGCTCTCCACTCCCAATACAGATCCATCATAGTCAATCGCCTAACTCAATCAATCTCTCTCTTCTTCAGACGAACGATCAGTTCTCAGGCCATCAATATGCCTGCTCGATAAGCGCTTTAGGCGTGATTGAAGAAGGACAGCCCTGCCTGCGGGTACTTTGCAATTAATATACGCAGGGCGAAAACAAAGATAACATTCACCCTAAGAAATATAATGTCATCCCATTGTAATCAATTTCCAATATTTTTTAATTGCTAATAATGAGCAATTGAAGATATCAACTCAACGGAGCTTGTGAGTAAACATGAAATTATGAAATTGAACATGCACTTATCCGCAGATCCCGTTTTTTCACTGAGTTTTGATCTTTCTCTCATTGCAAGATCTTAGCAGAACACCCCCCTCCCTCTCCCCCCTAACATAGTTGAGTCGTTCATCGGTAATTACACCATCGGTGAATTGGCGCTGGTACTGCAGCCGAGTGAAAAGGATCCTCATCTTCAAAACCCTCTTGTAACAATTGCAAGCATGTACATTGTAGGGTACGGCACCCGCTTCCCGGAAACGTTGGACTCATTGAGCAACTATATCCAATCTTGGCAATCGAAGAATTGTTGTCGGGTTTCGAGAAGGAGTTAGTGTCTATTTCGAACATTCGATGATCAAGGCCGGACGTAAGGGATGGTCACATAAATACCTAATAGTCTCTCCCTTCAAGTCCCTCTCAAAATCATTCCAAATCCACTACACTCACTCCACACCATCTTTATATACTACACTCAAATATTTAAACCTTATTACCACAACTTCAATATGACTACCTCCAACATGAACAACGTCGAGAACACCAACGGTACTTCAGGAAAGACGTAAGCAATGCTCCAACCATCTTCACACATAAGTATCAATATTCTAACAGCCTTATTCAGTGAGCCAAAATTGCCAGTTCCTGCACCTCAGGGCTCCGGAGTCATTGAAATTGAAGCAACTCGCTCTGCTCTCGGAGAATCCGAGAAGTTGATGCACTCATTGTCAATTGCTCCCTCCCAGCGAGAGCGCCGAGGTTCAAGAAACTCGTTCGGTGCTTCCCTTCCTATCCCACGAGTCAAGCGTCCATCCCACCTTTACCGCCCTGGTCTTCCTGCCTCAGTTCCCTCATTCGACATTCTCGCTGCCAAGGCTCAGGATCTTGCCCAAGAGAAGGTTTCGGCTGCCAAGAATGTTGCCTTTATCTTTGATATCGATGGTGTCCTCGTCCACGGTGACAGGGTCATTCCCGAGGGTGCAAAGACCTTGGAGATTCTTAACGGACAGAATGAGCTTGGTCTCAAGATTCCTCACATCTTCTTGACCAACGGGTCCGGAAAGCCAGAGGCAGAGCGTTGTGCTCAGCTTAGTAAGATCTTGAACTCTCCCATCTCTACCAAACAGTTCATCCAATCACACACCCCCATGTCTGCCTTGGCAGAGTACTACAGCACCGTTTTGGTAGTAGGTGGCGAGGGCTACCGTTGCCGAGAGGTTGCCGAGAAGTACGGCTTCAAGGACGTTGTTGTTCCCAATGACATCGTCGCCTGGGACGAGAGCATTGCCCCATACCGAACTTTCGGAACATGGGAGAGGGCGTCTGCACGACCAAGAGATTTCTCGAAGCACAACATTGATGCTATCCTTGTGTTCTCTGATTCAAGAGATTACGCCACAGACGCACAGATCATCATGGATCTCCTGCAGTCCGAGAACGGTCGTCTAGGCACCAAGGCCAAGGACCCTGTCAGCCAGCGTATCCCTATCTATTTCTCACATGGTAAGTATCCGATTGAATATTTTTACAAGATTTGAATAAAAATACTAACAATTCTCTCCAGGCGATCTTCTCTGCCCAACTGAGCACAAGTACCCCCGTATGTCCCAGGGTACCTTCCGTCTCGCCCTCGAGGCCATGTACAAGGCCATCACCGGCGTTGAACTCGAGCGTACCATCTACGGAAAGCCCGAAAAGGCTACCTACACCTACGCCGACGAGTGCCTCACCTCATGGATGGAGGAGATCCACTCTGAGAAGGTACTGCCCCAGAACGTCTACATGATCGGAGACAACCCGCAGTCCGACATCATTGGCGGAAACCTCTACGGCTGGAACACCTGCCTTGTCAAGACCGGTGTCCACCAGGGCGACGAGAACGACAAGGAGAACCCAGCCAGCATGGGTGTCTTTGAGAACGTTCTTCACGCGATCGTGACCGTGTTGAGGAAGGAGTTGGGAGCGGACTTCAAGTTCCAGTTCGACATCGAGAACCCAGTACTGGCCGGCGCCGGTGTCTCCGCTGTCGAATAGATTTATTTTTTTTCCTTTCCTTCTTGGGACCGTAAAGATTAAAGGGAAGTCTTTTATTCAGGCGTTATATCCGTTTTTGTTTGTCACGTTCTGTCTTTTTTCTTTTTTTCGATTGTGTTTTCGGAAGCAAGGGTTATCTATGGGCTAGGTGTAGCCCGGGGAATAAAGCTTGGGATTTCTATTATTATTATTATTACTTTAGAGTTTTCCTTTTTTGTCTTATAGTCATGGTCAAACAAAGTTCAAATCAAAATTGTCATCATTTTGACTTAATTGCTGAAGAATAACGAACATGCGTTTCGCTCCATCTGTAGAAACGGAGGTGGGGGGAGGGGCGGGTATTCTTTCCAAGGTCCTGACTTCTTTTTATTCGAACAATGCAGGGCGGCAGGGCGGCTGCTAGTGCTTGTAGATCAGATACCGCATCTCATTCCCCTGCATAAGTAGCTGAATGCAATTTGAGGCTGCATGGATGTAATTCCGAGTGATTTGATATGATCGAATATAATGTAATTTTTCTTAGGAAAACCCTAGCCACCCTGTGTGTCCCTAAAATGTAACTAAGGGGTTAAATAAAGGATACCAATAGAAACACATGTAATGTAGGTACGTTTACCTACTCTACATACACACAACTAAGACAAATGAAATTAATGAATTAAACAAAAAAAAAAAAAAAAAAAAACTAAGACAAATGATGATCATAAGTACCTCCTGTACCCTGTAGAAAGGTAGGGATTATTATTAATCAAGCCAACCTATGCCAAGAACAAAAGCTTGGTTCAATAAGCTTGGTTCAATAAGCTTGGTTCAATAAGCTCCGGGAGACATGTGAACAGATATCCGGCCTTGATCACTTTTATGTAAGGGACCCAGGGTCTTTGTAAAGACCAAGTAGACGGTTGCTGTTGCAGCACGAACCTTTGTTACGAGAATTTTGCAAGACATTTTACTATGTAGGTTTGGTCTTTATGATATCTCGGAATAGTATACGCATTTATCTTGTGCTAATTTCTACAGCCCTTCTATGAATGATATAATGTATGTTTGGGGGGTATAGATATCCGAAACTAAAACGATATATAAAGATTTCTTCACCCAAAATTCGCTTGCTAAAAAAAACCCAGTGTATAGTATTCCACTATTAGTTTCTCGTTTCAACATCCTTATAAGCGGGGAGCTGCGAGAAAAGCGCTTTTCCTTCAATAAGGCTTCTCTCGGTATTGGAACGACTGTTGACAAAGTCGGGGTAATTCAAGGTAAGCTCAGTTGCCCCATGAAGGATGTTATCAACCGCCTCAACACCGAGCATGAATGAATGGTCCTGGTTTCCGACTTCGTATTTCCAGCTGCCGAACCGACCTCTTGAGTGAATGCCCTTTGCTTGTAGTTTAGGAAGTAGCTGTTTCAAAACCCCATCGCGCTCCAGGCTGGGTGTAGGGTATCCGTGATCGAATCGTCTGTGATAGGTAGATACAATCTCGGCACCCGCACTTATAAGACTGGTGTTGATACAGCCTTGAATGGTATCACGGAGTAGGTTAGGCCCATCAACTGGTTTCATTGACGACTCAGAAATTTCTGCAAGTCTTGTCAGCCTGTAGTTACTTCCTAACACAATTACACGTTAACATACCCATCATCAAGGACCAATAAGGTCCCTCCTGGGGTTCACTCGAGTCAGGCTTGCTTCCATCTGCTTTCTGGAGGGTGGGTAGCTTGATGTTTGCTTGTGGCTGGTTGTTGGGAGAATAGTTGCTGAAGATAGTTGCGCGATAGAACGGACAATCGTCTTCGGGGAAGTAAAGCTGTCGAGAAATTTAGATTCAAAAAATAGAAATTTTAGAATAATGGACCCTACCCAGCACTTGTCACCAATGTTCTCTGGTCTCGCGCCTCGAATACCAATTCCGACAACGTGGGTGGTAGAATAGAACAGATCCTTGGTCATGATTATCAATTCCTGGTCATCAATTTTTTCGCACAGAGCATCAACAGCCATTGTGCTGACGAGTCTTCCGTATGTAATAGTTTTCCCGTCTGCTAAAGTAGCAACCTTCTTTTCCGCATCAATTTTTTCAACAGTTCCACTCTTACCCAGGCGAACATTTTGCTTTGGTAGAGTGTTTGCAACAGCGATCCAGATGCCACCAGTACCGCCGTGGGCAGGGAAACGGAATGTAGCATTAGGGCCCCAGTTACCTGCCGTCTTCTGGAGAATGACGTTCTTGGTAACAGTCTTGAGATCCGGTGCTGCGACACGCTCTCCAAGCCATTCGCATTGCATCTGAAATTCGGCAAGGTTGATGATAAGTATAAGAAACTAAGCTTATAATGATCTTTAGAACTTACCTTGGTGGTAGGCACAGCCCAAACCTTGTAGTTATATGGTCGCATAAATAGATCCGCGATACCCTCACCTATTGAGATGGAAGGAGTCAGTTAGGGGAATCGGCGCAAAGTCAAATTCAGATTCAAAAAAAATAGCCTACCCATCATTCTCACAATCCACTCGTCGAAGTTTTTTGGCTTCGTGTTTGCAACTCGGAATTCCAAAGCTGCATCGATCATGCCATTCATACAGCTAACCTGGTCTTCCTTGGGCAGCATACTAATGTTGTTCTGGAACGGGTATGGAACTTGGATAAAATTAGTGGCCTGTTCTCAAAATTGGATAAGATTCCTTTACCCCAAAGCTCCTTGCAACGGACGTAGGAGATGCGTTGATGTGTATACCAATCATCAGACTTGGGAAGAGCTTCGTTGATGCAATCATCGAAGTACTTGTAATGAGAGAAAATGACATGTCCGCCGACATCATAGAGCTACCGTATTCCGTCAGTAACAGAGTTTTGAAAGGGGATCAGGGACGTACAAATCCCTCGGGTGTGACATCGGTAGAGGCAAGCCCTCCAGGGGTTTCATTAGAGTCAACAAGAAGCCAGGAAGCCTCGTTCTGAAGGAAAGTGATTTATTAGCTTGATATCTCTGAACTCATTAAGATAGATGGAGACGTACAAGCTGGTTCAACCTTTTGGCGGCACCTAGACCAGTAGGTCCGGCGCCAATGACGAGAACATCAACATATCTAGAGAATGGTACTCAGCAACTGTAGCTTCATGAGAACCAGAGAAATCCACTCACGTATCTGAAGACATGATAGCTGGTGGAAATCAGAATTGGATATAACTTGGACGAAGAAACTGCGATTGAAACAAGATGGAGTCAATTGTCTATCGAGGAGGCTTTCTATACTTGGGGGGGTAGAGAAGGAGGGGGATAAGAGGGGAAAGGGGGAGGGAGACGCGAGCACGTTGTGTGCACAGGCAACTTATAACTAGATTTGAAACTGGGCTGAAGCCCTGGACATAAGCATTAACAACTAGTTAGCTGTGGGGTCCACACGGCAGGGCTGTCTATCAACACATATTCAGCAATTCCACAAGGGCATCAAACCCCAAACCAGTTTTTGATACCGCGATCATGTAGGCACGCTGATTGCTTACGTCCTTCTCGACGGGCTCACTTCCGTTGTGTTTATCCAGGGTTGTTGGTATGTATACGCGTGTCATTTTTCAGGGGAGCTCCATGGCCTCGAACTCGAGCGAAGAGGTCAAGCTTCAAACGCGCTGTATTCGAGGATCTGGTAGTTAGAGATTTTGTTCACATTCAGGCCTAGACTGGATGCACATGTACCCGGAGTAAATTGTGCATTTTGTACCAGTTTGTGCGGCATATCCTACATATACGTATCATGTAAATTTTGGTGGGGTTCATGAATGTTTATTTGAGCCTCATAATTATCGTGCAAGGGTCCAAGCTACATGTATTTAAGTTTCTGGGCAAAAAGTCTTGTATAGCTGGCAGTGGCAGCGATATTTTTCTCAATGTTTGACTATTAAGATTACGCGATATTTCAAGGTCAATTATCCTACAGCAACGCATTCATTCTGATTGTCGTTATTCCAATATGTATGTTTTTTCACCGAATCGCTATCAAGATTCTTGGCGTTTTGCTTCCTGGGGACGGACCCTGATATCTGGATTAAGAGTATGATTACGCATCTGAAAGTTTCTTTTCTAGATGCTTTCCTACAGCTTTAAACACCTTTCCTGAAGCTATATTTGGACCTGCGTCTCTACTTTATGTATCGTGACCAATTGGTGGGGCAAAACGTTAACGATAAGCTTCCCGCAGTGTCTTTGTTTTTTCCTCTTGTGCTATTTTCGCGTTTCAGCATCTCACCCTTCCGTGGGACCGCGGTGTAAAAATACTAGGGCTCGCAAATCTATATGCATCTTGGGTCATGACGGGAATTTCGTTCAGGGGTGGATCGCCTTTTCGAATTTTGAATAGGGGCTGGTTACTCAGAACACGATAGCGTATCGTCTTGGTAGCACGTTGATCTATGTGTGGTTGTGGATCGAAATAAAACCTCTGCTGCATTCTTCCCTGTTTGAGCGCCATCAGCTTAGAGCCAGCTCTCCAACCCCCTCCTTCTTCGGTATTATTTCGACCTTCTTTCTTCTAGGTACCTCGCGTCCTAACCTACTTCTTTCGCCGTACAGTTTCGTCCAGAATCCTGCATCTATCATCTTTGCTGTCGCTCGTTTCATCCGTTCTTCCCAACCTTCGTTCATATCAACATCCTGCTTTAAACTTTAGCCATGGCCGCCGATTCCTCCGACAGGAGGGATGGTGATTCTTCAGGTTCACTGCCTGCACCGAATATCGCATCACCTCCCAAACCCTCTTTACACCCGGCAGTCTATGTAGCGTATGTTTTCAATCTTCTCAATAGGAATCTAGGAGTTAATGTCTGTCTCTTTGCAGAGTATGGATTGGTTTGAGTTCTTCTGTGATTTTGTTCAATAAGTGGATTTTATTCAGCCTTGAATTTCGTAAGTTCTCCGAAAGTTTAGTGAGGGGTTCAATTGCTGATGTTTTTTCCCTCCGCAGCGTTCCGTAAGACTCCCGGAAAGCCAGTTACTTGATTTCACTATACCGCACGCATTCTTCGAGGTCACAGCTAAACCTCAGAAATTTGATTAATATAGCAATATTCTTAACCACATGGCACCTTATCTTTGCGACTATCGCGACGCAGGTTCTCGCGAGGACGTCTACCCTTCTGGACGGTCGTCACACTGTTAAAATGACCGGACGGATCTATTTGAGAGCGATTGTGCCCATTGGATTCTTTTTTAGCTTAAGCTTAATTTGTGGAAACAAGGCATATCTTTATCTCAGTGTTTCCTTCATTCAAATGTTGAAGGTAGGATCTTTTATCTAAAACAAGAGAGAAAAATCCATCGATGCTTACCATGATTAATTATATAGGCGACCACCCCAGTAGCTGTGCTTCTTGCGGGGTGGGGGCTGGGAATTGATTCGCCCAATCTCAGGATTCTGGGCAATGTTTCCTTCATCGTAATTGGTGTCATAATTGCGTCGTATGGGGAAATTGCGTTCAACCTTGTTGGCTTCCTCTACCAAATCATCGGTATCGTTTTCGAGGCTATTCGTCTCGTCATGGTTCAAAGACTTCTGTCTTCGGCAGAATTCAAGATGGATCCTTTAGTATCATTATATTATTTCGCTCCGGTCTGTGCAGGCATGAACTTCGTCATGTTTCTCATTTTCGAAGGATCAAAATTGGGATTATTCGACATTGCCCGTGTGGGCATCTTCACTCTATTGGCAAATGCTATGGTGGCTTTTGGTTTGAATGTTTCTGTCGTGTTTTTGGTATGTGCTGCCGGTTGTGAATGCCGCTGATGAATCAAAGCTAATAGAACGGCAGATTGGAAAAACATCGTCGTTGGTTCTTACATTATGCGGTGTACTTAAGGATATTCTCCTTGTTGTTGCCTCAGTCGTTATTTGGGCAGATCCACTTAGTGGTCTCCAGATGTTCGGTTACAGCATAGCATTGGGTGGTCTTGTGTACTACAAGCTTGGAGCAGATAAGCTCCGGGAGACCTATGTCAAGCTTCGTAACGATGGTACAGTGGCATGGCGAAACTTTGGGGATACCTACCCGGCATTGCGGAAAGCTACTCTTATTGGCGCAACCGTCATCTTCTTATTATTAGGCTTGGGATCTTTGTATGGAGGCAGCAGCGCTGGGTCCGCATATACGGGAGTCCGGTTATCTGATTCATCAGCAGTCCTTCCAGGCATTCTCCCAGGTAGCACTCCGGATGAAAGTTACAAGCCCAAGCGAAAGCTTGATATTGTCGTCAGCATAAATTCCGAAGAGCCAGCAAAGGTCGGCTGGAATCTAAAAGAAATCAGGGCCATCAAAGCTTTTTCTGGGCTTGACCCGAATGTTGTTGTCTACTTTAGAAATCCAAAGTTGGACCAATTATCTGTCAAGAAAAATACCGAGGCAGCTTCTGTGAAGGGATTAGGAAGTACTGGAGGAGATGACGACACTTATCTTTCACACATCGTGGAGCAATGGGACGACCTTGCGGAACATACATTATTTCTCAACGGCGCATTCAAAGATCTTCCAAAGGTCAAAAGCCGTATCGAAGATTTCTTTAAGCCCAGCACTGGTGTGCTTTCCCTGGGTGCCGGATACGGGAGTTGCTCTTGTGAATCATGTAAGGACCCTTGGGGGAACGATGATCTGAGCCGTGTACCTGGCATTTTCTCTGCTGTCTATTCAGAGCTCTGTCCTCCTTCCAATGTGCTCTTGTCATCTTCAGGTCAATTCCTTGTCTCTGCCAAGCGCATTAGAGGAACACCAAAGCATACTTACGAACACCTGAAAACCCTATTGGAAAGCGACAAGAAACACTGGATCCATAAAGAGGCAAAGAGCATTGATGAACCTGATCACCCTAGCTTTGGACGTGTCATGGAAAAGAGCTGGATGATTGCATTCAAGTGTGTCGATCCCAGGTTGGCGCAAAGCTGCCCAGCTCTTGGCGATAGAAGAAGGGAGACAGACCCAGATGAGAGGTGCCAGTGCATCGATTAACCATTCAAAACCAGAATTGGTAATGAAGCTACACTGTGGAATATTTTGGGGTTTATGGGAAGAGTTAGAGTTAATAAAATAGAGGGATCGGTACCTTCTCCAACTTAAATTGATGGGAACGAACTCAGGATCTTCGGCCCCGGATTTCTTTTATTTCTTTTTATTATTTTGCAATATTTTCCTGTACTATTATCGGCGTGCTTTAGAGAAGGAGACGGAAAAAGATATACATGTATTAATGAATATCCACATGACATGGCTCGATTGGATGATCACTAGGAGTTAGCGCATATATGCTAGATGTAGCTATATAGGTAGAGCGGTTTGGTGCAATGGAATGAAGGCAACCTATCAAGGGCAATATTTTACCCTCATATGTACTGTGACGTGACAGCTTATAACTGAGAAAGAACTATTATCGAGATTGAATTATATAAGGGGGGGCAGGGCGATAATTGATATATAAGAATATTTTTAACAAGCGGGTCTGCGCGCTAGTAAGGTCCAGAGATCAGGTCCTTGATTTGGTATGGTACAGGAGAGCATGTCGGGCCAATAATCCACTTATTCCCAGGTCCCGGTAGTGTAAGTAGTTGAAAAGCCAGCTCTTAATGAAACAGCTATAAGAATAATAATTTGGTTGAGAACCCTAATTTTTATCATGATCACTTTTTTTTTAAAACTCTGCTAGATCCAAATATCTTATAAGTATATAGATATACCGATATGCAATGTGTTATTTAAAGGTTTTGATTGGCTAGGTTTGAGAAGTTGGTGATTAAGATTGCTTTTTTTGAGTTGCTAACACATTGATTTTTCTTTGATTTATATATTGATTTTTGCTTTTCTTGAGATGATATCATGATATTAATTTTTGATTTTCTCGGTAGAACTTGAATATAATAGTATTGATTTTGCTTTTTTATGACAATATAATCATGATTGAATTGATTTTTCTTTTTTAGAGCAATATAGTAGCTATAATTATGTAACGGGGGTGCCTTGAAAGGGCGCGACCGTGACTTCGATCAGGTAGATAGGCAGAAAGGAATTTGACAAGCTATCCTTTCGGCTCGTTCGATGGAAAGATAGAGTTTCATTTGTTTGATCGTTATTTGTAGTCTAGAAACTTAATAACTTTAAGGGGGCTCCTCGCTGGTAAAGAC